GTAATATTTATTCAGGAGGTTTTAGAGATTATGCAAATGAAATTTGAAAGTTTTCAGATGAAGAAAATATTTCTAACCTAAATATGAAAATCACTTTGCACTCAGAGCGGTCAGCACTCTGACTCCATATATATATAAATAATATTTTAGTAAAAATACTTTATTAAAAATTCTGAGATTTTGATTACAAAAGACTTGTAATGTTTATTGAAAGCTTGCCAAATTTAATAAAGCTACATTAAGTACTTTGAGAGTTGTACTGTGTGTACCTTCATGGTTACATGGTGATTGCAAAATCATATAAAAGCCATGTTTTATCCTCCCCTATACTGGAACAGATGTCAGTGGTACTTTTGCTGGTTTCACTTATACCAAAACAGTTTCTTTGAACTCCATTTACCTTAACACTAAATTCATCATTGAACATGAAAATAAGAAGCAATTATCTTTTCTTAACTTTGACATTATTAGATCTGACACATCCCCTGAAATTTTGGCCCATGAATCCAAACAAAAATCAATATACTAAGAAATCTTATAAACACAACTCAAGAGTGCTCAACTGACTACATGGATGAAAAAATTTATCTTGTAAAGCATTCCATCATTCATCCAACAAATTTCCACTAATTACTGTCAAAAATTTTTACACAATCACCAGAACAAAAACCTCAAAACTCAACTGAAAAACAAAAGTGATACTAATAAACCAAACAACAACACAATATTACACTGCAGTTTCCATTCACCATGAAATCAATTCAAAAATAATTCACACTTGAAAAAATATTGCCATTAAACATAAAATTTCTGTCGATTTCCAATTCACTCAAACTCGGCCCTAAAATAAAATCATTACTAAATAAAAATTATGTAGAATCACACAATACCAAATCATTTTTAAAATAATGTACAATAACTGTCCAGAATTCTACATTAGAGAAACTGAAAGAAAATTAGAAACCAGAAACACTGAACACAATAAAAAACTCCCACGTTTACCACAACTGAAACTAAAAAAAAACATAATATATCTGTTCAAAATACTGTAATTTTGAACAAAACAACCCTACTCTAAACCTACCCCTTGGCATATCAAGCTACCTTTACTAAGCAATTTTCAGTCATGTGATCTCTATATTTCATACTTTATACCTGTGTCTATGTAAATTACTCATACCTGATGATAACAAAAGCTTGTCAAAACATAGTACATTTGTAATAAATTTTCTTTTACTACCCATTCTTTGTCCCCAAACTTTACCATCATGAATATTAGTCCTATTGGTTTTGTTGCTTTGCCAAATTGTACTGTCTAATCCCATATCATTAACTTTTTCCTTAGTCTTTCAAAAAAGTGTTTGAGATGGAATTTGTCTGCCATAATGTCCAGCTCAGTTGATGATTTCTTGTACTGAATGAAGGTCTCCTAGACAGGAAGGTGATGTGGCAGATGATAGGTACACTTAACCCTTTCTACACGGATCACGGGTCAAAGGCCATTTCATCGTGTTTGTTGACTCTCATTCAAAACTTTATTTAACTACTATTTTATGAATTTATGTCAATAAGTTTGGTATCAAACTGTAGATTATAATTAAAATTTTAGTGTTATACATTATTTAATTTCTTAATTTAAAAGTAATATATAAAAACAAACACCTAAACATCAACTCTTTTGAGTCACGTGGTTTGCTGAATATAGCACTGGTTCAAATTAGATGTTTCTGATGTCAAAATACAAAGTCTATAGTTTTGTACGAATTAGCAACTCAAATTACTGATATTGACAAGCTAGAATATAAAATAAGAACCTCCTATGTTTTCAATTTGTTGAGATATCCCTCATGTACCGATTCAAACAGTGACCCCCCCCCCACTAAACTTTTTCCATTTTTGGAAATTCTCTCTTACATACACTTAATTCTGTCTATGACATATGAATAACCAATTGAAAACTCAAAATGTCCCCCAGTGGATTTCTCAGCTATTTTATCATGATGTCATCTCGTTCTTTTGATACAAAACTTCAAGGTATTAAGTTGAGTCTTTAGTCTGCTCGAAATTTAATATTTTTTTAGACCCAAATACAACTTAGTTATTAAACTTGATAAATTATAGTGGAATTCTATGGTATCAATATAATAATTTATAATTTTTGGATACTTCAAATGTATATATATATAAAACCTTAAAAAATTATTTTCTTTCACATCCTTCACGTGCAAAATTTTAAAAGTTTAGCAACCTAAGCAGCAAACAAGTTCAAAAGCTGTAACTAGAAGAGATAATTGTTTGCTTTACTTCTTTATTTACTGTTCTGTGTTTTAAGGAAAATAAGTTTAAGAAGTTATATGTAAATAGTAATAACCTATATAGATATATAATGTATAATAATTGAAATGTGACTATATTTTACAAAATACTAGTCCACTAAAACAAAGCCAAGACAGGTCACAGTTTTATATTATTGGCAACGGTAATATGAGTGCACGGTGCCATGTCATTGTAACTTCTGTAATGTTAGCTGAGCATGGATGAAAGGTCAATATAATAAAAATAATAAATATATAACGTTATGAGATTTAAGCTATTTAGGGTAAACATTTGTGTTTTCATGTTATCATTTGTAGTCATTCTAGAAGGAAAAAAGCATAATTTATATTTATTTCCTAAAGTTTTTAACAATGGTTACGAGAATGGTCAAATTGAACAAATCTATACAGATACTTGTTGCTGAAAATAATATATAGCTTTTTTTCTTAAGAAACATTTGATATCTATCAGGACATTATAAAGATTTTGCATGTGAAATTTGAAAGTTTTTGATGCACAAAAGTATTTTTTATCTTAAAATGAAAATTACTTTGCATGTTGGATAGGCAACATGCAAAAAGAAAAACAGGCATCAGAAAAACATTGCTTAACAAACCTTAAGACTTAATAAGAAAAATGTCATAAACATACACTAATTTAAAAGTTACAGCATGTAAACTATAACAAGTACAAAATGGTTATGAGGTTGGTCCCAGGGACTGAGCCTGTACTCAAAGAGTTAATGTGCTATTTTTTTATGCATTTGACTTAAAGATTGTAATAGAATATTTAAAAGGAATGTCAAAAAAAAAAAGATTTGCAATCTAGTGGGATTTTTATCCCAAATATTTGGTCTAAAAATTATCCTGTTTACTCTCTCAACATGGGGTTGGTCAATTTGACTGACCAAGTGACCTCTCTGTACTCATTTAAAGTCTTTATACACTTAATACTTCTAACTTTCAATTTAGTGTGTATATCTTCACAAAATTTGGCAGTCTTTCAGTTAATATTACAAGTCTATTAACATACAAAAAATCATTTTTTAATGAACTATTTTTAATAAAATAAAATCAAAATTTATCTATGAATATATTGAATATTTGTTTTGAATAGTCTGTGTGCAAATTAATTTTCATGTTAAAATTAAAAATATTTTTCTTCATTTCAAAAATCTCAAATTTCCTTTGTGTAATCCCTAAAACCTCCTAAATGCATTTAAACGTTTTTTTTCAGTAAAACTTTATAGTTTAGGTGTTATTTTCTCTACCATACCTCATACCAAATTGGTCATTTGGACCGACCTCGTAACCACCAAAAAGAAAATGGAAATAAATCTAAATTACCTTTTTTCTTTCTAGAATGACTTCAAATTGTAACATGAAACTACGCTCGTTTATACTAAGTAGCTCTAAGTTTGTAACAGTATACAGCTACTTATAATTAAGTTTTATCGTTTTATTGCCCTTTGAACTGTGTCTAACTGCTATCTGTTCTATTATAAGTTGTAAATCACTCAGGGAACCTGCAGCTCATGTTACGCTAACAAATTACCCTACCCACAAGCTACTATAAGCTGCATGAGTGTGTGCCTCATGAAATATTTTTATAGTAATATTATTATTATTTATTTTACCTAATCTAATCTTAACAAACCTTGAAAGATCCCTATTTTTACATTTTAGTTACTTTTATAATTATACATAAAGAATAAACATGAAAAACTGGAAATAAAATACTTAACCAATCTTTATTTTTCTTACTGTCAGTTTTCAAAGAGAGTTAACCCTAATTTTTTTATACTAATGATAGTAATGCACTTAATAATTTTTATTTAATTAAATAATGCACCAAAGAATATTGACTAATAATATGCAAAAAGTAGACAAATCCCCTTACCTTCCAAAAATTTTCTGGCTTTCTAACTATGCGACATGAGTCGTTACAAATTCATCACCTTAATTGTTAACTTTCTCACGGGAATGATGTTGGTACTCTGATTGAAATTTACATCTAACTGTTCAAAACATAACATTGTACAAAACATCATTTGATAGATGAAAACCTTGATTTTCTATTGGTTATAGGTAATATATGATTAAATGTAAGAGAGAACTATCAACAAATCCTGAAAAAGAGGATGTGACAGGTGGGTGTGGTCTGATTTTCTATTTGATAGCTCTGTAACCAAACAAAATTAAAGACTACAAAACAATATGGTTTGTCGGAGCAATGATGATAGTGAGTAATTTACATTTAATTTCATACTCTTCCAAAGGGTAATGGATAAAATAGAGGAGAGAAGATGCCAAAAGAAAATGTGTCATGTATGTCACACTCAGGGAAATTCAGGATTTTTTTAAATATTGCCTTGTAGAATTAAGAACTTAAACTTATATACTATTAAAATATTTCACACTATTCTAATTGGTATAACATAAATAATAAAATATTATTAGTAGTTTAATAAAATTTTAAATGTAAGATGCTAAAACCTTGTGTCATGAGCAGTAAAGAATATCCATTAAACTGCAAAAATATTAAAACTATACATGTAGTTAGCATCTTTTTAAATAGATCTTAATAAAAAGTATAGTGCTATAGTATTTTTATAACCTATTAAAAATATGAACAATGAATTAAGAATTCATTTTCTTCTATACTGATAAATTTCAAATACATACCTTTTTGTTCACTCCAGATAGCTTACATATTCCCATATATTTCTTTTGATTTCCTGTTTCTACACAACTAACAAGGTCATCAGTTAGAAATCCTGAAGTAAGAGAAAAATACAGGTTACTCAAGTTATACATTTATTCGCTGTTTTAAAAACTTTTTTATATTTTAAAAATATTGTATTATAATTAACATTTTATTTATTTAATGTATTTCAAATAGATACTACTTCTAATATAACATATTGATTCTTCTAGTTTTAAAAAGAAAAATTTGACTTTTTTGCTCTTCCACAGAGGCTCCTATCTTCTACCACCTATAATCAAGTATATATTACCTGTGATAGAGCATCAGTAATACCTTACAGTTAATCTCTCTCACCAGCAGTTATGTAATATTATATTCTACTGAAATCCACATGGAACTGTTACCACGTTATAAATGGTTACTTTGTCCCAAAGTTCATCAGCGGTAGAAGGGATATATACAGTTTAAGAAACCATCTGTTGTACATACATTCTACTACTGCTACTAAAATGTTTACTTACAATATGATTCCTTACCTCCAATACAACTTTTAACTAGAATATTGTATGTTGCTATCATTTAGCCAATTTGTCCATGCAAACCTTTTTTGTATATTATATAGCTCACTTGCTTATGAAATGTTTTATGGTATTTAGAAGTTGGTTGGTAGTTAAAGTATTTTAGAAAAACTTGTTTAATTTCAATAAGTAATGCTGTTTCATACTAATAAGGTAATTTGTTTATAATTTTTTGTTACAAAGTAGCTATTTTCTTGGAGGAAGGCATTACAAAGTTGACATGTTTTATGGAATAGATTTTGTGTCAGTATGTTTAAGAAATGTTTTTTGGTATTATGTGGCTGGCTTTTCTTTATATAAACATGCATATACAGGGATCAAAATATTACATTCCCAAGGAATTTAACTTTACTTGAGGAATTTCATCTTTTTAGTTAGCTTTCCCACTCGGGAATGCATGGTTAATTTGTATTCCTTGAGTTATGACCAATGAGAGTGAACATACTGCATGGAGTTAATAATTAAAAAATTCATGAGGAAATGCAACCTTACGTGATGGACTGTAATATTCCTGATAACTTTCCCTTGAGTTAATGTAATTTTATTTCATTATATCTATCCCTGATACTTATTCCTTTTTTGGTAGTATGTAAGTAAGATGCTTAGGAAATACTAGCTGATGTTCAGCCACACAGGGAAGACATAAGGGGCTAGAACCCATGTGCATGTCTTTTAGCATCTATTTGTCTTCTTTGCTTTGTTTCTTCAGGAGATTTATTTGATTGTATCAATTGTTTTCCTTCTGCTTCAGTTATCTCCATTTTTGATAAGTTTTCTTGATTTTGTTGTGCTATTGATCTACCTTTTCTTTTTCTTGATAAAGGACATTTTATTTTTTTTTGCACTGTTTGTGAACTATTTTTATTTATATTCAGAATTTTAGTTTTGAATTTATTTCATATGTGGTGTTAGAAGTATTCAATTTAAATGAAAAGCTGAGGTGGTTTGATGCTGTAAACATGCCAACTTTTAATTCAAATGTTAACTAACATTTCAAACCCCTGATTTAACTTATAATGCTATTGAAAGAGCTTGCTGTAAATATGATCACATAAAAATCATATAAAATCCACCTCGATTTGGATTTAAATGCAAGACTCTCATATGAGAGTCGAGCGCTTTAACCACCAAGCCACTTTGACATCCAGTATTAGAAATCCAGTGTTAACAAATGTCAATTTAAAATATCATGGTAGTCATGTTTTTCAAAATATTGAAAGAGCTTGCTCTAAATGTAATCACTTATTTAAAATAAATTATAAAAAATCCTAACTGTACTAGTATTTGAACACAAGACTTCTGCTAGAGGTTTGGGCACTTTAACCACTGAAGCAGTTTGAGCATTACCAACAGATAGTGGATTTTTTTAGCTATATATAGCTTTTTGGTGCCAGATCACTAACTGATGCACTGCAAGGTCAAGGTACTCATGTCATGATCTTTCACAGGTACATTCAAAACTTAATTAAATAACTTTATTGTCAAAGTATGTCAACAAATTTTGTATCAAATTTATAAGTTAGATTTCAGTGTTATTTAAGGTTTAACTCTCTCAATATGGGCTCAGTCAATTTGACTGACCATGTGACCTCTTTGTAGTTGTTTAAAGTTTTTATAGACTTAATACTTCTAGCTTTCAGTATAGTGTGTATATCTTCACAAACTTTAGCAGTCTATCAGCTAATATTAAAAGTCTTTAACAAAAAAAGAATAATATTTGTTAGTGAAGTATTTTTTATAAAATAAAATACAGATTTATCCATGAATATATTGACTACTTGTTTTGAATAGTCTGTGAGCAAAGTAATTTTTATATTAAAATTAAAAATACTTTTCCTCATCTCAAAAATCTCATATTTCCTTTGTGTAATCCCTGAAACCTCCTAAAGGAATTTCAAACGTTTTTTTCTCAGTAAAACTTTATACTTTATCTGTTAGTTTCTCCACACTATCTCAAAATGGGATCGGTCAATTTGACCAACCTCTTAAACAAAAAAGAAATAAATCTAAACTAACTTTTTTTTTCTAGAATGACTTCAAATTGTAACATGTAACTACATTCATTAATCCTATGTTTATAACAGTATACAACTATTTATAATTAACTTTTACTGTTTTATTACCCTTTGAATGGTGTCTAACTACTATCTGCACCATTATAAGTTGTAAATCACTCAGAGAATGTGCAGTTCATGTTACACTAACAAATTACATTACCAACAAGCTACTACAAGCTGCTTTAGTGTGTGCCTCATGAAACATTTTTATTATAATATTATTATTATTTATTTTACATAATCTAATCTTAACAAACCTAAAAAACGTTTGAAATGCATTAAGGAGGTTTAAGGGATACACAAATGAAGTTTGACATTTTTAAAATGAGGAAAAGTATTTTTAATTTTAATATTAGAATTACTTTGCACATGGACTATTCAAAACAAATACTCAATATATTCTTGGACCAATCTTTATTTCATTAAATATACTTCATTAAAAAATGTGTTTTTTTGTATGTGAAAGACTTATGATATTAACCCACAGGACTGCCAAATTTTGTGAAGATATAAACAATATATTAAAAGTTAGAAGTATTAATTCTATAAAGACTTTAAACAAGTACAAAGAGGTCACATGGTCGGTGAAATTGACCAAGCCTGTGTTGAGAGAGTTAATATTGCTTACATATCCTCTGTCTGTTTTCAGAGAGGTCTCTGATATAAGGGAATGTGGCTGTATGTCTGTAATTTTCCTCCTCGTTTTTACTATTAAAGTTTACATTACTCATTTTCTTTTTTATTAAGCTTTCTGGGTATCCACTGTTAAGGAGGGTTTTAATGACACGTGTTTATTCTTAGCTTTTTCAGTACAAGTATTGTTCATTTTGAAAGCTAGGCATTCTATTTCACGGGTCATAACATTGTTGGGGTGATATGATATATAACTGAATTATTTAAGTATATTTGTGGGTATATGAGTTATGTGTCTTAATAATCATCACATCAAAGAGAGTTTTTTATCCATTTTTATTTCTATTATCAATCATATTACAGAATGTTGTCTGTTCAGGTGGTTTATGAATTCTTGAATCTTATCTGTAGTGTGTGGCCATATTATGAATGTATCATAAACATATGTCAACCAAATTTTGGGGCACAGTGTGGCTGTTTTAATTGTGTTAAACTCAAAATATTCCATGTAGAAGTTATTGAGTACTGGTGACAATGGTGAGTCCACAGCTAGGCATTCTTGCTGTTGGTAGTATTTGTCCTCATGTGTAAAGTAGGTTGCACTGATACAGAAGGTTAATGTTAGTACATAAGAACAAAATAATAATAATAATAGAAAAAAACAGCAATTAAATAACATATGAGAGACAAAAGAAAAGAATAGAGAGAGGAATGGTCAACCATGTTGACAAATATCACATGCCAAAAATATACATATAACAATGAGATTCATCACTTTATGGGTACAATACTTCAGTAACATGAAACAAAAGCTACACCTTGTTGATGATGATAAGGCAAATAAAGTCAAAAAGCTTTTAGCAATTAATGGCATTGTCTACAAAGAAAAGAGCAAACAAATTACATTTGCACAAAAGGTTTCAAACAAAAGTAACTTCATAAGAACAGATTAAAAAGAGGGTACAAATCCATGAAATATAGTGACAAACAGACTAACACTCAGGAAGAGCAATTACAGCTTAAAAACAAGGTAATAAACTTCCATGAAAGTAACAAGAGAAATTATGAGCATCAAAATAATGAAAGAGTCAAATAAAATAGAAACTATAGAACTGTTGTGACTGGCTTAGAAATTTTGGGAACATAATACTTCTTTATAATTCTCATAATCAGATTTATAAAATTGCACAGTTACGAGTGACTGAAGGTTTTATACTTGGGTGTTTGTGGAAGATCTCCATTTCTTGGTGAAACAGTGATTAAGTGTTAGTTAAACACAATAATAGAGGTAAAGAATCATATTAGACTTATAATTTTCTCTCATTTTTTTCATACTATTAATTATAAATGATAACTACAGCTTAATAATAATTAATTTACAATATTATAGTATAAAGAGAAAATAATAAACAAAAGTTTGATCATGACAATTCTGACTTATCGTTCACCATTGTTTCAATAAAAAAACATGCTTTATTAATTAATATGAAAGGTTTTTTAAAGTATAACATCAAACACATAACTTGATTTTTCCATATCTAGTATTACCACTGAAAAAGTAATATCTCCTAGTGATAAATTTTTCCACTTCTATGGGCAGTATATATCTCCCTGTATACCACTAACATACAAATTTGGAACCACCATAAAGAAAGGGTATTCTCCTCCAAAGTTTAGCAGTTTCAAGTTTTAGACAAGTAATAAAATATTAAAACATCTTTTTTTTTCATTACTGAGCATTAATAAATATAATAAAGAGAATTATTAATGAATTCTGAAAGAGAGGATGTGACAAGTAGGTGTGGCAAGAGGGGTCTGATTTTCTAATCGATAGCTCTGTAACCAAACAGAATTGAAGACTATAAAAATTATGGTTTGTCTGAGCAATGACGATTTTATAGAGAGTAATTTACGTTTAATTTTGTACTTTTTTGAGGGGTGGTAGATAAAATAGGGATGATGACACGCTTAGAGAAAATGTGTCATGTGTGTCACATTAAGGAAAATTCTGGTTTATTCTTAATATTGCCTTGTAGAATTAAGAACTGAAAACTTATATACTATTAAAATATGGATTATAAGCTAAGAAGTTATGCTATTCTAATTGGTATTACATAAACAAAAAATAGTATAATAAAATTTTGAATGTAGGACACTAAAATCTTGTGTCATGTACAATAAAGGATACCCGTGGTGATAGGGTTAAAAGAAAGTAAAAATGTCAAACTTTCGTAACTTGGAAAAAGTATATTTAAAAGCCACACATATATTACAATGAGTAATTAAGATAATAAATGTTATTAATTTATATTAAATTTTAAAACAGTCTTAAAGTTTCTATTTGAGATATATTTTCATGGTCTGATATTTAAAATGTTTTATATTTTTTTATTCTAAGCCAAAAAACCTGTTGAGTGAAGTAGTGCAACAATTTTGGGTAAAACTCCAACATGGGACTTTCCATCTGGATGTGTAATAAGAACATCAAGGTCACCACAGTTACTTTTTCCCCTTCTATACGAGCCACATGCTATACACTCCAATTCTGGTTGTACTAACCAGGCTGATTCTTGAACCTAAATTCCAAAATAGAGAACAAGTGAATAACTGTACTTACTACTAAACATTAAAACTGTATATTTGTCTTTTTTCTACTACAAATAAAACAATATATCAACAATAAACTTAACAGATTTACTTAAAAGATATAAAACTTCTGTATAAATGTACTTACAAATACAATAGAACAATAAAAACTTGATAGCTACCCTTAATAGAACTACCAAAATAGCTTTTAATTCTAGTAAAAATGACCTTTTAAGACTAAATAGTTTTTTAGTAAATTGGACATTCAACATTTCACTTTCATGAGTGTTCCACCCAAACACAAACTGTAACTGAAAGTACAAATATATTTCTTAAACCAATTAAAGTGTGCTGTCAGTTACAGTTTATGTTTTAGTGAAGCACCACTTAATAACAATAATAAAAAAATTATTCCAGTATGTTATACATAAGATAGAGTTTAATATTATTAACACAATAAAAAAACAAACATTATAGATTTTTGCAAAATTTTGAGAAATCACTTTTCATCAGAATTTACAGGTTTTATACACTATGGTAATCAAAGTGCTATTTAGCCTTCATATATACATATACCTTCAGGATAATAAGGGAACTGTTGGTCTATCTAGACTGTCCTATCCACTATAATAAAGTCTGAAATGAAAATGACATATGACAACCTTTCCATCTCAAGTATCATCTTAGTAGCCCTCCTCTGAACCCTTTCAAATATTTCAATGTCCTTTTGAAGGTAAGGAGCCCAAGACTGAACACAGTACTACAAATGTGGCCTAACCACTGACATATACAATGAAATTATAACTTCTTTAGACTTGTATTCAATATATCCACAGATACAACCTAAATGCCTTTTTGTCTTGTTACTAGCAACAGCGCATTGCATGGATGGCTTAAGAGACTGATCAACCAGAACAACAGAATCTTTTTCTTTCGTAACACTGTTAAGTTTAATCCCCCCAAAAATTATACACATAATTAAAATTGTGATATCACAGATATATTACTTTGCATTTACTATAATTAAAAGCCATCTGCCATACATTCATCCACCTCACCAAATAATCAAAATCCTTTTGTAAAGCAGCAGAATCCTCCTCACAGCAAGCAATACCCAAAAATTTAATATCATCAGCAAATTTATATAATTTATTGACCATTACTTCATCTATATCACTGATATAAATCAAAAAGAGCAAAGATCCTAACTCTGAGCCCAGAGATACCCCACTTGTGACATTAATCCAATTTGACTGAACTCTGTAACAGCCTTCTGCTTTCTTCCACTCAACCAGTTGTGTATTCAATGAACTAATCTATCCCCCACATCTACAGAGTTAACTTTTCAACAAGCCTTCTATAAGGCACCTTGTCAAATGCATCTTTAAAATACACACCTGTAGCTTCATCTACATAAGAAGTAGCTTCTTCAAAAGACGTCAAGAGATAAGTAAAATAAGATTTTGCTTTAAAGAAACCATGTTGACTATCTGACAAATTTTAAACCTTATTAAATGATTTTGCAAAGCATCTTTTATCAGACTTTCAAAAACTTTTCACACCACTGACATTAGACTAATAGGCTTATAATTACTGGGACAATTTTTATCATCTCCCTTGAAAATGGAGTAACATTAGTCAAATTCCAAAGTAGTAATAAGTGGGTTCACACATCCAATCCTAAACCTCCCTCATAACCTTTTGGTAAACACTATCTGGCCCAAGAGCTTTATCATTCTTTAAACTCCTCAATTTTTTCTTAAGAAGCTGAGAATTAATGTAATCACCTTGCTCAACCTTGTTGCAATCTAACAATGGTTCAGGTTGAGGATTGTTGCTTAAGTCTTCATTAGTAAAACTAAGGAAAAAAGTAATTTAATATCCCAGTTATCCCATAATAATCAGACACAGACCTTCCCGTATCATCCCTCAAAGGTCCTACTTCTATCCTAACATTTTGCTTACCATGAATGTACTTAAAGAAACACTAACTATAAATTTTTACATTTTTGACAAATCTATTTTCATAGTTTTTTATTATTTCCTGTTTGATTAACTCTTTTGACCTTCTATAATCCTCTACATCTCCCATCATTGCACTCAATTTAACCTTTTTAAATTTATGATGATTTTTATATAATTTTTATCCCTTATACCATATGTGTGCCAAATTGGTTTTTTACTTGCAGCCACATATTTTTTTCTATAATATTTTTCTTGAATATTAGAGAATTTATTTTTAGATTTTTTCCACATTTGATTGTATCACAGACTAATTCTTGTCCCATCCTTTCAAAATTCACTTCTTTGAAATTTGGAACCAAAATCTCATTTTTCCTCATCTCCATATGCAACAAAACATTAAACATAATTGAGAAATGATCACTTGCACCCAAATGTTCCCAATCTCCACCCTATCATTTCACATTTATTGTTAACTTCCAATATAGAAATGGTATTGTTCCTAGTACGTTTTATTACCAACAGGTTGAAGAAACTATCTTGAACAGTATTTATAAACCTGTCTCTCTCATGATTTGACACTTAACATTTCTCAGTTTATCAATAGTTGTAATTTATCATTACTACTAGAAACCTGTTTCTACTGAATCAATTTTACTAACTAGTAAAGCAAAAACTATACAGGTAGATTGACTAACACAGGAAAAAATTGTAAGACTTAGTTTTAATATAAAGAGTAAATCACTATGTATTTATGGATAGGACTGAGAAGTTATTTTTATTGCTTTCTTGGGCGAAGTAGAGGTTACTTGAAGAACTGAAAACTTGAAGTCTTACAAAGCCTTTACACATAAAAAAAACTTATTTCAACAATAAAAGTTTTTAACCCAAAACATTTGTAAGAGTAAAGTAATCAATTTATATCAGTTTCCATATTTTGCAATACCAGATTTTTCAGTTTTCAATACTGGGTCATTCAATTTGACTGACCACGTGAACTCTTTGTATTCATTTAAAGTCTTTATAGATTTGATACTACTAACTTTGAATATAGTGTGTATATCTTTATGAAATTTAAAAATCCTTCAGTAAACATAATAAGTCTTTTACATCCAAAAAACCATATTTTTTTTGTAAAGTAGTTTTAATAAATTGAAAAAAAAAAGATTTGTCTGTGAATATATTGAGTATTTCAACACTATTTGTTTTGAATAGTCCATGTGCAAAGTAATTTTTACATTAGGACTAAAAATACTTTTCTTCATCTCATTTGTGTAATCTCTAAAACCTCTAAAATACGTTTCGAATGTTTGTTTTCAGTAAAATTTTATATTTTATCTATTATTTTCTGTACAAGGTTGGTCAGTTTGACTGACCATGTAACCACCAAAAAAAATTGAAAAAAGTTCAAATTACTCTCTTTTTAGAATGACTTCAAATTGTAACATGAAACTACATTCATTTATCCTAAGTAGCTTTAAACTTGTTACAGTATATATACATCTATTTATACTTAAATTTTATTCAAAACATCATCCTCTACACTTGTGTTTCTACAACAGGCAGTTATCTTCATACCATGGACTACAATGACAGAGTAACTAGATGGATGTCACTCCTCACTACAAATAATACTGTATGTCAACGTTAATGGGTATCACAGATACTGTTACACTATCCTGCCTTTAGTTCACTGTGATTTTTTTTAAGAGTCCAAGACTTGATCAATTTTCAGACATTGAATGCTTAGGTTTGTTGACTATTCTCCCAGGAACATTTGTTGAACCATCTGCAAGACACGACAAACTACAGCAACATTTTTATTATAGTGTACAGTGCCAACTTGGGCAATTGGTAAGTAGAGCTAAGTGATTAGTGGAATTTGCTAATCAATTATCCTCACAAAGTTAATCTATTTTCAACTAGTTTTGTTCTTAGACATTTTCAAACTACACTACATTATATATCTTCAGTGTTTCCACTGGCAGTTACCATTTATGGGGAAAAAAAATTATGTCGTGAAAATTTTTGGTGCAAGTTTTTATAAAGATAATGTGAACATTTCTGTCCTTGCAAATAGTTAATGTCGAAACAACCATGCAGTTTGTTTATTTTTAAATATGCAGTGATCTGATATAAATCAAATAAATTGACATTCAGATAATGAAAACATTTTGCTATCACTGATAATTGTAATAATGTTTTATTTAAAAATATCATGACTAAATTGGATATACTTAAGTAGCTATTTATTTATTTTTTTTGTTTTAGAGCAAAACCACATTGGGCCATGTGTTATGTCCATCACAAGGAATCAAACTTTGGATTTCAGTGTGTATGTCTGTAGACTTACCAACAAGTAGCCAGTTAGCTATTTTATTTCTGTTCATTGCTTGAATCTGATACATATCAAAATAGTATTTAATAAAAAGGATTTTGGTCATTAGAATATTTTGGTGTTGTCTACAATATTCACTAAACCTAACTCCTTTGTTATGTCTTCTCATAAAAGAAAATTTCTGTAGTTTTCAAATAGATATAACTAAATACACAAACATTTTATGAATGAAAGGAACTTTTAAACCATAAAAAAATTCCCAGCTCTGTTGTTTCTTCTCAAATCTACCCATTGTTTACTTTGGTCAAAAAAACTTACTATAAACTTTCCCCTTAAACCATAAACTATAGAACAAACAACTTTATTGACTCTACTACAACTTCAAAATCAAATTCTTGGTCTACCAAATCCTATTTAAACTTACTTTACAGATGTGTGCTTCATTAGTAAATTATCAAACCACTTAATGCAACATCATACTAGGGTGTACAAAATATAAGCATATAAAGAGAAGGGAAACACTTGCAAATCAAGAAACAGATAATATATTATCAAGGGGTCACAGTTTCTCATCAAAAGTAAGGCTATTCTCTGGAATGGGTAGAATAACAATTTTAAATTAGAACCCTTGAAACAGAATTAACATAAAATTCCTTTGGTGAAAGTGATTGCAAAAGAAATAAAAAATAA